CTATCAGGGGTTCCTCATGAAGCTTCGGGCGGCTGTGGTAAACTCCAGGGGCCCAGAGCGGCGAGCCAGGTGCTGTCCTGGGGTACGAAGTGGCTCCCAGTTCTCGCGGGTTGGCTTCGACCCTTTCCAGGCCTGACGAGGCCACCCATGGAGCCTCCAGAGGCTTCCCCCGGCCTCCAGGGAGTCTTCGCAGGACTTCTTTCTGGTGGCCTTCGCAGTGGCGGTCAGGGCAGCCCCCCATGCAAGAGCGCCTCGGGTGGCGGTTTGTCCCCCGCGCCGCCCACAAGGGGTAGGCGGATCTGTTTGGATTTCCTGGGAGGCCATCGTCTCCCCGGCCAGATGCCGCTAGGAACATCGGTCAGGACGGTGACTGGGAGGATCATCGGAGACTTCGCCTCGGGGCAGATGGATGAAGTTCTCGCTATCTTTCAGGAGGCCATCGCCGAGCGCAAGCCGACTGCTGCTTCGGCCGCTGTCCCTGCTCGCTAGCCCACCCGTCGCCTGAGGACCAGGAAATCGTTCCAGAGCGTTCCAGAACGCTCTCAGAGTGTCCCAGAGCGCTCTGGAACGGCCGCGGCGCCCGCTCCAGAATCGCCAGATCTCAGAGATCTCCGATTTGTCGTTGTCCGATGTTGTCCAAGTCTTGGGTCCGTCTCAGGGGCGGCTCTGGAGCGGAAGCCTGTTACTTGGGGCCTCAGCTGCGGGCGCCCCTCCCTCCCTCGCTGCCGCCGCGGCTGTCCCCCTCCAGCGCACCCTTTGCCTGGCTTCTCGGAGGCGACGAGGCTGGCTTGACCCACCGGGCCCAGCGTCTCATGCCGGCGCCGCACCACCCTCCCTCACTCCTTCCTCCCTGGGGCTCCCCTCCCCTCCTTCCCGCAACCACGGCCCCGGCACCTGACCCTTTTTAGATCAGGTGTCCACCGTGGCCAGGCGTGCGGGAATGGCCTCGCAATTGCAACGCTGGCTGCCGGGCCACTGCCGACAAGCCGGCAGCCCCCTCCCCTCCTTCCCCTCCCCTCCCCTCCCCTTCCCTCCCTCCCCTCCCCTCCCATCCCCTCCCCTCTTTCCCCTCCCCCCCCCTTCCGTCCCTCCCTTCTCTCCCTCCCGTCCACCCTGTAGCTCTTCTGCCTCCTTCCTCCTTCAGAGGGGGCTGGGCGCCCTCCCTCCCTTCCCTCCCCTCCCTCCCTTCCCTCCCCTCCCTCCCTTCCACCATGCAGTTTCAGGAGAGAAAGAAACACACAGACACAAGTAATCGTCGACTACCAGCAATACATGGGAAAATATGGGAAGTGGGGGGAACACGAAAACCCAGATCTTTCACCCCGTGCGTGGTGACTGCAGGGCAATCGGCTGGCAACGAAACGCTACCCACTGGCCTGTGTGGCAACAGGCGCCTCGGGAACGGATGCACTGCGTGAACTCGACTAGCTAGCGAGTATCACAGCATCTTCGCCGCACTTGGGATGCATACCCTTGAGGTAACGCCTCCCTCCGCCTGTGCCGCACTGCAGCGTTCATCTCCCATCCAGGGAGGGACGGGACGCTGGACACGGGCTCCCAAGCCCAGCAGGCTTGCTGGTGGCGTACATGGAGCACCGTTTGCAGAACAGCAGAACCTCGCCCACAGGAGCTCCAGGCCTGGCTGAGAGCTCGCACCAGTCAACATCATGCGAGTGGGCCGATCTTCGAGTCGGCAGTCCTTGCGGTCGAGGGCGGCCAGCTTCGACGTCTTGCATCGGAGGCAGCGCACACACTGCCAGCGGCTCTTGCCGACCACAACGAATTCGTGGGCGATTGCGGCGGCCGCAACCCGATAGGGCGGCGGCCTGCGCAGGTCAGCCCGTTCTTGCTTGGGCGAGGGGCCAGAGCACAGTACTCGGGCGACCCCAATGAGATACTTCCTGACCTTCGCCAGCTGATCTTCGAGGCCTGCGGTGAGGGTGGCCGATGCGCCGTGGAGGCGCGCTCCCTGCTTGGCGGCATTGTCAGCCTCGTCGTTGAGCCAGGCAGCCCACTCGCTGGCGGTGGTGGGCCGCTCAACGACGCGCACGTGCGACTTCTGCTTGACGAGCCCCGCAGAGGCCCCATCCTACCGAGGGAGGGCCCTCCAAAAGCCCGCGAAAAGGCCCGAGGGCTTGCCCGCTTGGGCCCGGGCCACCCCCTGCTGGGCCGCCTCCAGGACCGAGGAGCAGTCCCCCATGTACGTGCAGGTCCCGTCTGAGACCTCGGCAGCTGTGACAAAGCACTGGTGTTCGGCACGCACGGCGGACTGCGGCATCCCGACAGGGATCGAACCGACTATCTTGCGAAGCTCCTGTTGCTCCGCATCCCATTGCACGACTCCCCGGCCCGCCCGCGCGATGGAGGTCAGAGGGGAGGTGGAGCAAGACTCGTCCCCCCGCGATGGCCACACCCGACAGAAACGAGAAACTGTGCACTGGCACCTCGCGCTCGCCAAGGAGAGCTCGCATGCTCCCGCGGGGCGGGTCTAGAAAAAAGGCAGGCGCGCACGGTGGGCAACTGGTCAGCAGCAGGCCGTCACCAAGCGTGCGGCCTGCCGAGAGTGCGTTTGCCCACCCTTCGGCGGCTCGCCCTGCGGCGAACAGCGAGCACGTCTGTACACGGTGCTCGGTGGTGAGTGGCACACCGCAGCTCGCGGAGAGGCCATCATGCAGGTACCCGATGTCCCGCACGCGCACTCCCGTCAAGTGCGTTCCGCACAACAGCGAGACGATCACGTGCCGCTCGAGGGGCGAGACCTCGCGGCGCTGGAGGATCTGCTGGACGCCCTCCCACCAGATGCCACCGAACGAGTCGTCAAGCCCGAACCTCCTCCTGACGGCGTCGTCGGCGCGCCGCTGGGTCTCCAGCATCACGCCCTGCCTGAAGACCCTCGCCACGCGGCACGGGGAGAGCTCCAGCACGTTGATGTCGCCCGCGCTCGGGGAGCGGAAGCAGGTGGCCGACACGGCTCCTCGGCGGCGCCGTCGCACGCCCCAGGGGCAACCAGGCGGGCAGCGCGGCCTCCAGGATGTCGGAGGAGGCGTAGGAGTGGCCCGCAAGCGCTTTGGCTGCGCGTGCGCATGGCGCCCAGCTCCTGCACGGAGAGGCCCGAGACCTCTTCTCCCCAGATGGCCGCAGGGACGATGGCCGTGTGCCAGATCCGCTTGCAGCCCGCCACCTGCCTGATGGCCCTCATGGCCTTTCGCAGCCGACGCCGCCCAGCGTCGATGCGGCGCTGCCTGACAGGCCCCGCGCCGCGCGCCACGCCCGGCACGCATGGGCGCCCGCGGCCCCGCCTGCCCGAGCGGAAGTCCACGCCGAGGTGGCGCGTGGTGGCGTTGGCCGCTTTGTGGGCCCGCTGCAGCGCCCCTGGGCAGGAAGCTTGGGGCAGCCCGAGGCTTCGGCAGCTGGGCCGCGCTCGTGACCTCGTCCGAGCTGCCCAGCGCCGTGCCCTTGTCCGTGGCCAGCTTCATGTCTAAGTCGACCTCCAAGGCTGCCTTGAGGTCCCTCGCGCCCGCTGCGAGCGTGTCAACCAGCTGCGCGACCGAGTCGCTCACCACCTGGCTGATGTCGTCGATGTGGACCGCCAGCGTGATGCCCACGTGCAGCGCCTGCTGCTCGCGGAGGTCGTCGATGAGGTAGGGCCGCGAGGCAGTGCGTGGCCGAGAGACACCCCGCTACCAAGCCCACGTCGGGGAGGATGGGGTCGGCCACGAGGCCGTCCATGGTGACGAAGCGCCTCCAGCGGAAGGCGCCCAGCACGACTCGCAGCAGGTGGGCTGGGAAGCCCGCGCGCGCCGCCAGGCCCACCAGCTTCTGGTGCGAGACCTTCGCGAAAGCCTTGGCCAGGTCCCACAGAAGGACCACGAAGTGGCACCCGAGCTCCGCGGTATTCTCGGCCCACGTCGCGGCCCTCCAGACGCAGTCCGTGACCTTGCGGCCCTCGCCAGTGTTGAGGATCCCTCTGTCCTCCAGTTGGGCTTGCCACCGCCGCAGTCTGGGCCGCTGGCACTTGCCCCGCAGGCGGTGGAATGCCTTGAACTGGCCGATCGGCCGCCGCCCTCCTCCCAAGGGCATCGGGTACTGCGCCGACAGCAGCTCCTGCTCGGCGCTAGGCGCCACACCCGTAGCCGTGACCAGGTTGAAGAGCACTGCGTGACATTCCGAGCTGGCCTGCCACCCGAAGTGGCCGGGGTGGATCCCGCCCGGGGTGCAGGTCTCACCCTTGAAGCTGCCAGCTGCACGCACCACATTGCTGCCTGTGACGACGTAGTCGGAGGCCGCGCAGCCGTCGGCCTCGACCATGGCGTCGAGGGCCCGCTGCACCGTCGAGGCCGCCTCCGCGGCCTGGTTCACGTCCGGCGCGCGCCAGTGCGCAGCCCAGTCCCCGTGGTACTTGGCCAGCACCTTGAGCGGGTCCGAGCTCCTGTCGTGGACCTGCACGGCTGCGCCCACGAGCTCGGGGGTGGGGTCCGCTGGCTCTTTGGACCATCGGTGCAGCATGGGCGCCCCGCGCTTGAGGTCCTGCTTCAGCGCTTGCCTCCAACGTGGGCCTGGCCTGCGGGGGCCCATCAGGTGCTCCTTGCTGAAGCACTCTGCCGCTGCGCTGATGGCCATCACAGCCCCGAGGAGGCTGTCGCCCCCGCCTGTGGGCGGGGCTCCTGCCCCCGTAGCGTCTCCTGACCTCGGGCCGCCTCCGCGCCGCAACAGCTGCGCGTCATCGACCCGTCTGCGCGCCACAAGCCGTCCCCCGCCAAGGCGCCGCCTTCAGGACTGCCGACCCCTCTAGCGGTCGCCTCGACGGGTCTTGCCGCGAGGCTGAGCGAGAAATATGGGAAAGTATGGGGAATCCTGTTATTTGTGTCTATTTATTTGCTTGTCCCAGGGCCTCTTTACAGTTGTTCTCCCTCCAGCACTCCTCCTTTCAAGAGGGGATGAGCGGGGCGAGGGGCCAGGGGTGGGCTCTGGCCGTGGTGCGGAGCGCTCGCCTCTGCCAGGCGTCGAGCAGAGGTACTTCGTCCTGTACGAGGATCGCTGGCGAGAGCGGGGGGAGGGGAGGAGGAGAGAAGGATATCAGGGGCAGCAGCGGGGGGGGGATCAGGGCTTGAGTCCTCGTCGATTCTTTCGAAGCCACCGCTCCAAACTTGTTCAGACTTGCCCAGAACGAGGTGGTGTGAGTTTCCAAGTTTGAGGTCATCGTCAGCGATTCTGTCTTTCTGCGCCTCGGGGGCGTCTCGTCGCCACGGCTGGATTTGTCTCGAAAATGCTAGTCAGAACGCACCCACCCATCAGGGGCAAGGACAGGGGGAGATAGGCTCGGGGGAGGTAGGCTCAGGGGGGATGCATCGACCCCCCATTGATCCCCGATGCTGGCCTGATAGGGCCACCCCGCCCAGGAAGGTATGGCCCGATGCTTGCATGGCGCTATTGCGCATCCCTGCGCGGCTGATCCGACTCCGTTCCAGCTCTGTGCCAATGGCAGACCAGTCCGACGCACGTTCCGATCCGACCTGGTTGTTTGAGCCGGTGCAGACTGATCCTGGCCTTGGGGGCCTCGCGGGGGCGCTATGCGGGCAGGCCCAGGATGAGGAGAAATGGCTCCAGAGCGCTCCGGAGCGCTCTGGAGCAGCCGCACCAGCGATGAAATACTGGGATCCACAGAGCCGCCAGCTTGCAGAGATCTCCGATCTGTCCTGCAGTAGGGTGGCGTCGTGTGGACCGGCGGCGACCCCGCCGCCGGTGTTCAACGTTGAACGCCGCTGGCGACCCAGAATCGGTCGACGTTGAACGATCTGACGTTTCAGAAACATCCGATCGTTTAAGGTTGAACGATCCCCGCAGTGTCAGAAACCAGCGCCGAGGTCGGCACGACACGAACCTGCCGTTACCCGAGCTTGCCCTAATCCTGCCGTCGAGGGGGCGCTGGGCGTAGCCACCGCCGCTCCCGAGGGGGGTGTCATGCCCTACTACATGGACCGTCAGGCCCTCGGCCCGCCCCGCCGCCGCCCCGCCACTCGCTGGAGCCGCCCTGCTCCCCCTCCTCCTCCTCCTCCTCCTCCTCCTCCTCCTCCTCGTCCTCCTCCTCCTCCTCCTCCTCCTCCTCCTCCTCCTCCTCCTCCTCCCTCCTCCTCCTCCTCCTCCCTCCTCCCCCCTCCCCCTCCTCCTCCCCCCCTCCCCCTTTGCCTCCGCCCCCTCCTCCTCATCCGAGTCCTTCTCCCACTCCTCCTCCTCCTCCTCCTCCTCCCTCCCCCTCCTTCTCCTCCTCCTCCTCCGTCTCCTCCTCCTCCTCCTCCTCCTCCTCCTCCTCCTCCTCCTCCGCCTCCTTTGAGTCCTCCTCCCACTCCTGCTCCCTCTCGTGCCAAAGCGTCGGCCGACGACGACGACGACGACGACGACGACGACGCCGACGAAGCTGACGACGACGACGACGACGCCGACGAAGCTGACGACGACGACGCCGACGCCGACGCCGACGCCGACGCCGACGCCGACGCCGACGCCGACGCCGACGCCGACGCCGCCGACGACGACGACGACGACGACGACGACGACGACGACGACGCTGACGCCGACTCGGAGGGGGGCCAGTCGAGGCAAGGGTGGCCCCCCCCGGCGTTTGTCGCCTTTTTCGGGCCTCCTGCAGCCTTCTCGTCGCCAATGCTGGCTCCGCCTCGACAAAACGAATCGGGATGGACCCCTGGAGGGGTCCAGGGACCGATTTTGACCGGATTTGGGCTGGGCTGGCTAGTCTCTCTCCCGTCAGCTGCGCCTCCCCAAGAGCTCCCCCAGGAAAGGAGGAGGAGGAGGAGGATGGGCATAAGGAAGGGGAAGAAGAGGAGGGCACGCGGACGAGGGGGATGAGCCGGAAGAGGGGGAGCTGGAAAAGCCAGAGAAGGTGCGGGGACGGGAGGGAGAGAGTGGGAAAGACACATGCGTAAAACATTACATAATGTGTCTTCATGTTGGACGCTTGAGAACTGGAACCTGAGTTCGTTTTTTCTTGTTGGTCATGAGTTCGACTTGTTTAGAAGTCAAGTTTCGAACCTTGAGCCCTGGCTCGACGCATGAAGGTGTTATGTTGCGCTGTAATACTCAGTAACAGAGTGTTTCAATATTCTGGGTTTCGCTCATTCGTCAAACGGGATAAACATCTGAGGGATCGCCTCAACGGTCGATTTCGAACCACAGTCGAATCTTCAACCAGACAACTTGCAACATGGACATACATTCCTTGCATCCTCCATTTTTGCATCTACAATATTCCACGTTTCCACAATCTCCTACGAGACCCGTTGCCTCCCTTGATCTGATCTCTATTCAGGGCCCTTCATTTGTGCATGTACGATTATTAGCTACTCTTTCCACCCAGCTGTCAGTTTTCTGGTCGGGTTGGCTGATAATCTATTCACCTAAGGTTGCCCGAAGTGCTGTTTAGGGTCCTCCTGCCTTTCCAACTATTCAGCCCCTCGCAGGGCGAATGGGGGCCTCCGTATTTGTGCGTCCTCCTCCCCATTCTTTCCCGTAGTTATATGTGAATTATTGGATGCTCGTCCCACTCATTCGTCATGCGAGCTGTATGCAAATGCCCGCCACCTTGCGTATGTTCGGTCCGCAACATCTCTGCAGAACGAATCACACTCTCATCGATTCCAAAGCGTCAGGTTCCCATTATTTTGTATCGCTTCGCTCACTCCGCCGGCCCATATTGCCTCGCCGCTGTTTTTGTCGGGGTGTGCCTCTTGGGGCTCTCTTAGGAGGCCTCTTAATGGTATGAAGATGTTGCAGCCCATGCCAGTGGCGACTCCCGCATTTCTCTACATCTAACCTCACTGTGCGCTGCCCTCAAGGCGCACGCGTCTCTGGGGGGCATCCCGGCTCTGTCCCCCAGGGGGTGGGCACATGCAGATCGGCTCTCAGGCACACCCATCCCTTCCACAGGTGGCCTCTTCGGGGGTCTTGTACGCGTCGTGGGCCGTCTGGAAGCCATCGTGGGTGTCTCGGACCGATTGTTCAACGAGTGCCTCTTGGAGCGCTGCCAATTGCCCGAGTGATCGTTGTCAATGCGACACTGCTGGGAAGGGTTGTTGATTATCGAAGACGCCTACGGCGAATCACCGCCGCCCCCTGCCTTTTTGGAAGCGCCTATGTGGCCGAACGTTGAGGCCAGACCTGCCAAGCTATCGGACCATGTCTTCCCCGAATCGGTTTGGCAACCCTTCGGGGAACACGTGAGCATCTTGAAGGTCCTCTTGGCCGCCTGGAGGCCATTTTGACCCTTTCGGGCCTTCTTGGAGGACGTCTTGGAGGGCTCTTGGGCCGTCTTGGAGGCCATCTTGAGCGTCTTGGAGGCCTCTCGGGCCGTCTTTGGGGCCTCTTGGGGCCGTCTTGGGAGCCTCTTGCGCGATCTTTGGGTGCACTTGGGTCGTCTCGGGCCGTCGGAAGGCAGCAAAAACGCAAATGCCGCAATCCTTCAAAAACTCATGGGAAGTCAATACATGTTGCCTTTTCGGGCCTTCCTGGAGGCCCTCTTGGAGGCCTCTTGGGACGTCTTGGGCCATCTTAGGGCCATCTTCGGCCGTCTTGCTGGGCCCCTGGCCCGTCCGACGCCTTCGAAAGCCTTTTGGGGGGCCTCTCTGAGCCGACTTGGGGCCCTCTTGGAATGCTCCAGGGCCGTCTTGGAGGCCATCTTGGGCGTTTTAAGAGGCCTCCTGGGCCGTCTTAGGGGCCTCTTGGGGCCATCTTGGGGGCCTCTATGGCCGTTCTGGGGCCATTTTGGAGACCTCTTGGGCGATCTTTGGGCGATCTTTGGGGGCTCTTGGGCCATATCGGGCCGTCAGAAGGCCGAAACGAAGCAACTGTCAAAATCCTTTGGTCTTTCCTGGCTCTGGAAGCTCTCTTGGAGGCCTCTTGGGCCGTCTTGGGCCAGCTTAGGGCCAACTTCGGCCATCTTGGTGGGCCTGGCCCGTCTGACGCCGTCGGAAGCCGTTCGGGGAGGTTTTCTCGGCCGACTTGGGGCCCTCTTGGGGTGCTCCAGGGCCGTCTTAGAGGCCATCTTGGGCGTCTTGGAGGCCTCTTGGGTTGTCTTTGTGTCCTCTTGGGGCCGTCTTGGGGGCCTCTTGGGCAGTCCTGCGGCAATATTGGAGGCCTCTTGGGCGCTGTGGGGGCGATCTTGGGGGCCCCTTGGGCCGTCTTGGGTCACGGAAAGCCGAGAAGAAGCGAATGCCAAAATTCTTCAAAAACCTAAGGACAATCAATAATTTTGGCCTCTTCGGGCCCTCCTGGAGGATCCCCTGGAGGCCTCTTGGGCAGTCTTGGAGGCCTCGGGGGGGCCTCTTGGGTCGTCTTGGACTCTCTTGGGCCGTCTCGGAGGCCGTCGTGGACCATCTTGGGCGAACTTGGAGGCCATCTTGGACCATCTTGGAGGCCATCTTGGGCCAACATGGCCATCTTGGAGGCCACCTTGAGCCGCCTTGGAGAATTGTTTGTGGACGTTGAGGTCGTTTGCGGTCCTGGAATAGCCTCCCGGGACCCCGGCGGGACGGGCCGAAGCCCCAGGAGGAGTTCTTTTGGAAAATGAACCAAACCAAACCGTAAGAAGTCCAGCACGCCAGGCACCCTTGCGATAAATCGACAGGCGGCGGCGGATCGAAGACGCCTACGGCGAATCACCGCCGCCCCCTGCCTTTTTGGAAGCGCCTACGTGGCCGAACGTTGAGGCCAGACCTGCCAAGCTATCGGACCATGTGTTCCCCGAATCGGTTTGGCAAGCCTTCGGGGAACACGTGGGCATTTTGAAGATCATCTTGGCCGCCTGGAGGCCTTTTGACCCTTTCCGGCCTTCTTCGAGGACGTCTTGGAGGGCTCTTGGGCCGTCTTGGAGGCCATCTTTAGCGTCGTGGAGGCCTCTTGGACCGTCTTGGGAGCCTCTTGGGGCCGTCTTGGGCCTCTTGGGCGAATTTTGGGGGCACTCGGGCCGTCGGAAGGCAGAAGAAATGCAAATGCTACAATCCTTCAAAAACTCATGGGAAATCAATCATTTTGGCATTTTCGGGCCTTCCTGGAGGCCCTCTTGGAGGCCTCTTGGGCCGTCTTGGGCCATCTTAGGGCCATCTTCGGCCGTCTTGCTGGGCCCCTGGCCCGTCCGACGCCTTCGAAAGCCTTTTGGGGGGCCTCTCTGAGCCGACTTGGGGCCCTCTTGGAATGCTCCAGGGCCGTCTTGGAGGCCATCTTGGGCGTTTTAAAAGGCCTCCTGGGCCGTCTTGGGGGCCTCTTGGGGCCGTCTTTGGGGCCTCTAGGGCAGTTCTGGGGCCATCTTTGAGGCGTCTTGGGCGATCTTTGGGGGCTCTTGGGCCATATCGGGCCGTCGGAAGGCCGAAATGAAGCAACTGTCAAAATCCTTCGAACACCTACGGAACATCAGTGTTTTTGTTCTGTTCCACCTTTCTGGCTTTTCTGGGGGCCCTCTTGGAGACCTCTTGGGCCGTCTTGGGCCAGCTTCGAGCCAATTTCGGCTAGCTTGGTGGGCTCCTGGCCCGTCTGACGCCGTCGGGAGCCGTTCGGGGAGGTTTTCTCGGCCGACTAAGGGGCCTCCTTGGGGTGCTCCAGGGCCGTCTTAGAGGCCATCTTGGGCGTCTTGGAGGCCTCTTGGGTCGTCTTTGTGCCCTCTTGGGGCCGTCTTGGGGGCCTCTTGGGCAGTCCTGAGGCAATATTGGAGGCCTCTTGGGCGCTGTGGGGGCGATCTTGGGGGCCCCTTGGGCCGTCTTGGGTCACGGGAGACCGAGAAGAAGCGAATGCCAAAATCCTTCAGCAACCTAAGGAACATCAATAATTTTGGCCTCTTCGGGCCCTCCTGGAGGACCCCTTGGATGCCTCTTGGGCTGTCTTGGAGGCCTTTGGGGGGCCTCTTGGGCCGTCTTGGACTCTCTTGGGCCGTCTTGGAGGCCGTCTTGGACCACCTTGGGCGAATTTGGAGGCCATCTTGG